GTCCTGCACCCCAGGAAAAAGGGTGGGAACTGGTAATTCAAAAGCAAAGTGAAAACCAGGCCCTGCCTATCCCTGCTGATCCCCACCAGCTGTTCCTCCAGCCCCGAGGGACCAACCCACGAGGAGGGACCCCCCCACCCTCCCCTTGTCCCTGCTCCCCCTCGGAAAAAGAGGCGCCGGTTGTCGTTATCGTAATAATGACTTTATTTCCAAATTCACTTTTACGGCAACAGTGTAAACCAGTTGTTAAACACACGATACACTATGGACACCCACAGACAGAAGCTAAGCTAGAATGATACACTGAGATCAAACCTTCCCTCCCTGCCCCGGCGCAGCGCGGGGGGGGCAACGGAGCTGCCAACACCACACAGGCTGGCACCGACCTTCACTACCAACCAGATCCTTTTTGGAGTGCAGAAATAGGAATTTTATTTTTTTTTTAAATTTTAATTTTTTTTTTTTTTTTAATCAGTGCCGGTTTTAACCCTTTTCAGACCAAGATGTGTGTGGAGTAAAGGAAGAGCCGGGGGGTCTGGCTGCTCACGGGGACCCTCAGGCCTGGGTCTGAACGCAGGGTCAGGGCTGGGGGACGTGGCTCGGGTTGGTGGAGGGGACAGCGGGCGACAAAGTGGATGGAAAGGGCTGTCCTGAGACCCCCCACAGCCCCCGGGAGGGGACGGCAGGCGGGGCTGAGGACACTCGCAGCGGGAAGGGGCTGCTCACGTCCCTGTCCCTCTCCCTTGGGTGCTGGTGTCCCCTGGGGGCTGCACAGAGGGGCCGGGGGGTGGCACAGGGCAGGGGCAGAGTGGGCCAGCTCAGCTACACCGTCCTGCAGCCCAGAAGGGATTATATAAAAGGGGGTGATGCTTTCGGGGTTCTCCCACTTGCTCGTTTTACAGAGGACAAGAACCGCGGCGGCTCCTACAGCGCTACAGAGTCAGGGACGGAGCACAGCTACAATCATGGAGTCAACTGAACGGAGCGAGAGACAAGCTGGACGTGGTGGTGCTGCTGGACCAGCCTCTCCCCAGCAGCAAAGCAGCTCCTGGGGCTGCGGAGAGAAGGGTTGGACCCCACCGCCCTCCCCAAACAGGCATCCCCCAGCCCCAGCCAGGCATCCAGCAGCTTTCCCCGGAGGCACAGGGCGCACACAGGCAGGCCTGCAGCTCCTGCAGGATGGGAGTGAGTCCTGTCCTGGGAGGAACAGCTGCTCTGGCAGCCTTGGTGGCACCCAGCCACCTCCCCAAGGACAACCAGGGCCCCATGCCCCAGCATGACCCTCTGCCAGCCCCGTCAGACCAGGATTCCGGCCCTTGCCGGGAAAGCGCGGCTTTCCCTGCAGCACAGCCCCTTGGGGTGCACGGTCTGGGGCCCACCCGGTGCCCCCTCTGCCAACTGTGCCCCCAGAGCTCGGCTGGTGCCTCTGGGGGACACGGGGCCAGGAGGACACACACAGAGCTGCACTGGTGGCATCTCAGCCTCTTTGGTTGTAGATGGAAGGGGCAGGCGGGGACGGCCACGGGACCCCCTCGTGCTCCCCAGGGAACCACAGGAACAAAAGCAGCAAAAGAAACAACCGGCTCCTGTCCCTGAGCGGTGCCGGGGGCGGTCAGTGCTGAGTGAGGGGACACTGTGAGGGGGGACACGCTGCCAGCTCAAACCCAGGGAGCGCCCAGGAAGGGGGTTCAGTGCCAGGGAGCAGCCGCCGGGCCCCGAGCTCGGGCTGGGGGAGCTGCTGCACCTTCCCCGCGTCCTCCCGGGGGTCTCCCACGGCTGCCACCGGCACAGCAGGGCCACGGAGCTGCCGCCTCCGCCATCGCTGAGCTGACCTTGCAGGGAAAGAAAGAGAACAACCCAAAAACGTCACAAGCTGCACCCAAAATCCAGGAGCCATCCCAGCCCTGGAGCTGTGAGTGCCCCTCATCTGACACCCCGGCGGGGCTGGGAGGTGCCCGGCCCCGGGGAGCCCAAAGCAGCGGCTCTGTGCCCACCTCCCACCCAGCAGACATGCAGTGCCGGGCTGCCCCGGCACAACCTGGAGCTGGCACAACCCAGAGCCCGGCCTGGACCCCTCCTGGTTGGGCTGCGGCAGAGCCGGCGCGGGGCAGCTCAAAACTACTTACAGCATTTATTATTTTCCTTTTTTCTTTTTTTTTTTTTTTTTTAAACACATGCTCGTTTATGAAAACAATCACCCTGGCACGGTCCAAGCATATACAGACAAATCTACTCTACGACACGAGGGGCTGCCAAAGGAATGGGGAAAAGCCTCTACTCATCCACTCAGCGGTTCCAGCACAGCCACGGAGAGGGGAAGGGCCGTGGGGGCCCCTCCGCAGCGGGTACCCCGGGGTCGCCTGTACTCCAGCTGCCGGAGCTGAGAGCGGGGTTGGGGGGTACCTGGCCGTTATCTTCAGACACATCTCGGCTTTCGGAGATAAAAACAAAAGGTTTCTTCCGAATCGGCAGGCAAATTTAAGGCGGGGAGGGAGGGCACCTCCCCGCGGCCCCCGGCCCTCAGGCCAGCCCGGCCATCCTCAGAGGGACGAGGGTGGGAAGGTCACAGCCCCTTCCCTGAGGGCTGCCCTGTGCCGGTGTGGGGTGCTCGGGTCAGCGCCGTGCAGTGGCCGCCCCCTCGGGCCCCCTCCCCAGGTGGGCCCGGGCAGGGCTGGGACAGCGAGGGACGCGGCGGGGAACGAGGGGGAGCGTGGGGACAGGGACGGGCTGTGCGCTCCGAGGAGCAGGGGGAGAGGAGGTTTTGTACCTCATAGTGTCACTGATTTTGAAGTCCTGGAGCTAGAGCTGAATGAACAGTAAAAGCAGGTTAAATCATTAACCAGTTAGGGACGGGGAAGCAGCTGTAAAAGGAACAGAGGAAGAAGGCCAGATTATTATTTTCCTTTCTTTTTTTTTTTCCTTTTTTTTTTTTTTTTTTCTGTGTGTGTGTGTGTTTCCTTTCCTTGTCTTCTCTCCCGGTCGCCGCCGTGCCCCGATCACAAGCCCTGCTTGGCCAGCGAGGCAGACACCTCGTCGGCTAGCGTGGCCAGCTGGGGGGAGTCCACCAGGTTGATGCTGCCGGTGGAGGAGACGTTGCTAAGGCGGCGTGGGGAGGCATCTCCGGAGATGGTGGGGGACTTGTAGACGATTTCGGCGCCGTGGTCGGTCTTGGCTTTGGCGTTCTCGCGGAAGGTCAGCTTGTGGGTCTCAATCTGCGAGGAGAGGGGAGGGCGGTGAGGGGAAGGGGGAGCGGCCGGAGGGGTTGGTGGGACCTGCCACGTGCCTGTGCCAGTACAGCCGCTGAGAGGCGGGAGGAAAGCTCAGAGCACTGAACCGGTGTCCCCAGTCCTCAGGGACGTCCCTTCCAGTGGCCTGCACAGGGAAGGGGCACAGCTGGAAGGGATGGCAGGACCGGAGCAAAATCCTCCCCAGCTGTGGTGGGGGGTCCCAGGACTCCAAGGGCACAACCTGCATTGCTCTCACTCCCCCAGCAGAGATTTTTGGAGGGGGGGAGAGGTGGGATCCCCACGTGGCGCATGAAGCTTCCCCTTAACCCCCAGAGCTGCTCCCAGAAGCCAAACCCCTCTCCCGGCGAGCGGAGGTGAACTGGATGGGGTTTGCTACTTACTGGTGCCCTCCCCAGCCGATTGCAAGGCTGGGAGCTGGCTCTCCATGAGGGTGGGCGGCTCCAGCACCAGGGCCTGGAGCCCAGCGGGGTCTGGGCTCGGGGTCCGGGTCTTGTCTTCCTTGCCTTTCTCTCTCTACAGGTGAAAAAACCCGCCCAGGGCAGTGGGGGG